GGCCGGGGCAGCCATCAAGGGTCAGGCCTTGGTTGACTTTGTGGCAGAATTCACCAACTTACCCAGGGTAGATGAAATCATGGAACCCGCCGAGCCCCCTATGTGGCACTTATTCGTTGATGGGTCGGCTGGAGACACCGACTCGGGTGCTGGAGTTGTCCTCATTAGCCCTGAAGGTCACAAGCTAAACTTAGCGGTGAGGTTCGGGTTCAAGGCCACCAACAATGTAGCAGAATACAAGGCACTACTTGCAGGCCTCAGGCTGGCCAAGGAAATGCAAGTAAAGAGGCTTCTCATCAGCAGTGATTCCCAGCTGGTTGTTAGCCAAGTAAATGGTAACTTCTCAGCCAAGGACAAAACGATGGCCTCCTACTTGAAAATGGTGATGAACCTCATCCCATCCTTTGAAAAGTTTGAACTAACCCAGATCCCTCGCATGGAAAATTCTCATGCGGATGCACTCTCCAAGCTCGCTAGTAGTAGGGGATTCAGAACTACTCACAGTAGTACCTATAAAGCACCTCCTCCTGCCATCCAGCGAGGCCCCCAATGTAATGTGGGTCGCTGGAACTCCTACCTGGATGCAGCCAATCGTAGCATACCTCAAAGACCAGGTACTTCCCACTGACAATCATGAGGCCCACAAGCTAAGGAGGAGGTCAGCCCACTTCCTCTTCATTGACGATGTTCTCTATAAGAGGAGCTTCTCCTCCCCACTCTTACGATGTGTTGGGGAAGAAGATGCTACTTACATATTGAGAGAAGTCCATGAGGACGTGTGCGGTAATCACTCCGGAAGTCTATCTTTGGCACAAAAGATATTGAGGCAAGGGTACTACTGGCCTACCCTAAAAAGAGATGCCCTCGAGTTTGTATGAAAGTGTGACAAATGTCAACAATTTTCTTTGGTACAAAGGCAATCGTCGCGGGATTTGATGACTGCTGTCTCCAGCCCTTGGCCTTTCTCGAAATGGGGTGTGGACCTCATAGGTCCTCTACCTAAAGGTAGAGGAGGTGCAAACTTTGCAATTATGGCCATTGATTACTTTACGAAATGGGTTGAGGCTGAACCACTGACAAAAATCACAGAATCCAACACTTCCAAATTCTTGTGGAAGAATATTATAAGTTGAGTTGTTTTGACGGATGCAATGGATCAATTTCAACGTGGACAAAAGTCTAATTTTGAGGTATAAAATGGTCTATTAAATTTGTCATTTCAAGCAATATTCGCACATTTTGCAAACCAAACCAGTCACAATTCGTACTTATAGGTAACGTATTATTAAATTAATTGGTCACAAACTATTTCTCGATCACAATTCAAAAAATTTATATGTCACAATTTATTTATCGATAATAAATAACAAAATTCAAAGGCCACAACAGTCACCAATTATTAAATTAGATAGTTTCAAGTTATTTTTCAGTCACAAATTACCATTGATAACAAATTATCAATTTTTTAGGTAATATATTAAATAGTTGCTCACAAATTAACGGAATAGTTGGTTAAAATTACTCTTCACCCCCTTCGCTACTGACACCAATAGTTTGTTAGAAATTAACTAAATAATTGGTCACAATTACTAAAATAGTTGGTAACAAATTAACCAAACACCCCACCCCTAATCTCACCACCATCCACAATACTTGGTCACGAATCAACCAAGGTCACAAATCAACAAAATAGTTGGTCGCAAACTCTTCAACACATCCCACACAATAGTTGGTCGCAAACTTTTCAACACATCCCACACCAACTGACACACCATGCTACCTCACCATCGTTGCCGCAACACTGCCACCACCTCCATTTGTGACCATCACCACCACCATCCCTATCGCCACCTCTACAGTTAAACCACCACTAACACCACAACAACCACTATTCAGATCGTTGCACATTGAGATTGCCATTGAGCGATGCTCTATGCGTCGCACGTAGCTACAAATTGAGTGCCGACGGCACGGAGGCGATGGCGTGAACGCTTGTGAAAAGAAAAAGGAATAGTTGGGCCTAAACAATCAACCGGTAGGAACACCATGACCTTTCACCGTGAAAGGGTACAAGACCAAATGTATGGCAATTTCCCCAGTATCACAATGGATAGATGGTGTCTCCAGCGTCGTCTATGTGTGAGAGAGAAAAGATAGAGAGATGAGTGCCGCGGTTAGCTCGACAGTGGTCTTAGATAGCAGTTGCAGCGATGTTGAATTAGTGTGAGTTAGGTGGAGAGGCTGACAAGAGGGAAATGATTTTTAGGGTTTGGGAAGAAAATGGGTTAGGATGGAGTGATAGTGAGGTTTGGGTGGGGTGGATAGATTTTATAATATTATTATTAATATTAATAGCTGAATTATACCTAAGTTATGAACAAGTAACCTTTATATCTAATTTTTGAACCATAGTCTTTAAAAACTCGTCCCAGTGTAATTTTTACTTCTCTAAAAGTTCAATAATGCCTAGATGGATGATGGATCACTAACACTAGATCTGGGCCTTAACAATGGCCCACATCCCTTGACCTGGCCCAAACAAGTCATTTTCACACATACATGTACACATTTTTCTCCAACACAAAAAGACACCAATTTTCACAATTCAAAAAATCTGGGGCTTCTCTCTCTGTCTCTGTTTCTGTAAAATCACAGTACCCCAGGAAGACAGATTCCCTCCTGTTTACCCATTTTCGTGTCTCTTTCTTCTCTCTCACACACACATACAGTAAACAATCACACACGCGTACAGTGACTGTGTAATCTGTATTCAGAATGCTGTTTTGTGTCAGAGAGCACGAGGTCGGCAAACCAAACTAGCTAAGCCAAAATGTACATTCCCTGGAACGACGTCGTTCCCTTTTTTCAGAGCCTCATCACAAACCCTTTTCACTTTCTGAAACCCTGCTAGAGCTAGTTGTCTTCTTTCTATCAACCCCTTTAGAAAAAGTTCTCGTTCTATCGCTTTTGCTGCTCAAGTTCAACGGCGTCTTCTTCAGAACTGTCAGTGCCATTTTTATAACTTGTGCAGTAAGGGTTCTTGACTTCTTTTAGCTTTTGTTTTTACCCATTTCAAGAATCTTGTAAATCTCGCAACTTATTGTGAAATATTTGTGTGGTTGTTTAATTGCAATAGGGTAGATTTTGGTACTGTTCTTTTTGTTTAATTCTGATAAAATTGAATCTTTTTACTGTTTGAGTGTTTGTAGAACTTTAAGCCCTTAAATTCCGGAGCTACCTAAAACTTACAAACCCATTTGTTTAAGCATCTGTTCAGCGGAAATCATGCTTCTGCTTTCCCTTAAACCATTTTTCTTGTAAGATTCTTTATTTAGAATCAGATCTTTGATTTTGTCTGATTTGATGGGAATGGAATCACATAGTCCGTCTGAACCCTTTAATCAACCTTCAAATATTTCCGAAACTGTTAGTAAATTTGCCAAAGTATGTAAGTTTAGATCCGTTGGTGTTTTTAATACATCTGAGAACCAGTACCATAGTCACAGTCACCAGCAATTTTTCCACAATACTGCACAATCATTAGCTGAAGAGAGCAGCAGTGATGCCACTGAGGAGGCTGAGTTTGATGCCGAGAAAATCCATTCGCAATCTGCTGAGACACGAAAAGAAGAAAAAGAGTGTGGGCATGTGGAGATCTTGAAATTGTTTAGCGCTCTTTCAGCTTTGAAATTAGCATATGTTAAGCTCCAAGAAGCTCACATCCCTTACAATCCTGGAAAGATTAGAGCTGCTGATGAGAAGGTTGTGTCTGAGCTTGAATCGCTATGCAAGATTAAGAGGGCTTACAAGGAGAAGCTACTGAAGGAATCAAATACCTTACCTGCTTGCTCAGCTCTTTTGCTTGCGGAAACTCAGGTTCAAGAGAAGGTTTTGGAGAAGTTGAAGCATGAATTGAAAGATAAGGACAATGAGGTGGTTGATTTGCAACAAGGACTACGGGCCTTAGTGCTGAGGAACAAAGAGTTGACCGAAGAGATACTGGAACAAGAAAAGAAGAGAATTAAGGCTTATACGTACTCCTCCTTTGAGGACACTGTCAAGGCAGCTGGAAAGGCTATTCATGATTTCGCCAAGCCTTTAATTGCCTTGATGAAAGTTTCTAATTGGGATCTAGACCAGGCTGCAAATGCAATAGAAAATTCTGTTGTATACGCCAAGAGATCTCATAAAAAGTATGCATTTGAAGCTTACGTCGTCCGGAGAATGTTTCACGGGTTTCAGCCTCAACCCAACAATGCAGATAATATTTTGAAATTGGGTGATCCAATTGATGCTTTGATTGAAGACCCACAATCTAGTTTTGCCAAGTTTTGCAGAACAAAATATCTACTATTAGTTCATCCTGAGATGGAAATATCTTTTTTTGGCAACTTGGACCATAGGACTTTTGTGGCTAATGGGATGCATCCACATACTCCTTTTTATCGTGCATTTGTCAAAATGGCAAGATCGGTTTGGTTTTTGCTGGGATTTACAGCTTCTATTGAGCCTAAAGTTGAAATGTTTGGAGTTAAGCAGGGAAGTAAATACTCGGATGTTTACATGGAATTTATAGTGGAGCTCAAGGAATACAAACCTTTGTTGGATAAAGGTCATGGAATCTACAAAGTTGAGTTCATGGTCATGCCTGGTTTTAAAATAGGGGAGCGTTTAATTAGGTCTCAAGTCTATGTCTCACGGGATTGTCAAATGGAACAATGAACATTCTAGAAGGAGCTGTTAATTCAGATTCCAGTTGAAGTTCTTGCTTTCAATTGTAAATAGCATTTTAACTTGGCATCTGACTGTTAATTCTGTAACCGCTGTCATGGTGAAGTACTCAAAGCCTGCACTTTAATGGTAATTTTATCTGAATATATTTTTATTTTATTATGGTGATTTGTTGCATTTTTCAGTCTCAAATATTATCTCGCCAATGATGTCTGGATATTTATTTATATATGGTAGAGCAAGTACAAGTTCCTACCATATGTCTAAGATGTTTGATGAATTGATGATAAAATTTATTAAATTTTGATTCTTGCATATTGATTGATAAATCTTAGCAACATCTCTATACTTTTGACTGCAATGAAATGTAAATATGTCGATCACGGTTATCTTAGTACTTGCTTCAATGAGAGGAAACATCTCCTCCATAAATTCTATAAGTCGACGACTAGGAAAGAGTAGTTGGTTGTGCTGCTAAAACCAGATAATAAAATCCGCATTTTTGTAGAAGCCAATTCTAGTGTGCAAGTTGCTTGGGTGATTCACTTATCGTCTTTGCTGGTAGTGGAAAACAAATCCTTGCATATCTCCCTGTAGAATCTGCATACTAAATCAATAAAAAGGGGACTAGTGAGGCTCTTCCAGCAGTAAAGAAGCTCTTCGACGTCTTTCAAGTCCCCCATTTTACCCTCTTCAACAATCATCTCTATCAGATAGTTCTCAAAGCTCCTGCAAACATCTTCAACGACTTTCTTTTTATTAGCTTCACCATTTCTTACATTTGCTGGACTAAGGGGTGAGGGGTAGAATGCTGTATTATTCATGGCATTTGATAAGCTCTTGAGCTCCATGATTCGATCCATCTGTTCTGTCTTGATAACCTTAACGAACACCAAACTGACCAAATCTTAGGAAGTCTTCCTGATTTTTGTTCGTTGAAGGATAAACTGAAGGGCTCTTATATAGGCTTGGTTTTGGAGTCTGAATTTCAATACTGGTATATATTTTTTGTTTAGCATGGATCCTAAAGCTTGCATTTGAAGGGAGTGGAGTTTACATTATCAATTTATTAATGATTGACGATTGAGTGCTGATGAAGGGATTGAGAGGATTGGTGATGGTGGCTTATGTTTTTCCTGCTACACACATATACCACAATAACTACCGGTTGGTGTACTATGGTTGGGAGTATTTCAAGTATCCCTTTATCGGGATCGCATTATTAATCTTGATGTTGGAATTTTAGTCCCTTAGAACGTGAAAATCAAAAACTTTCTTTGAAATGTTGAGATATGCTACACTTATAGAAAAAACCTCACAAAATTAAAACATGAAAATAGTTGTCTCCCTGTGATTGGCTGCTGTCAAGAACTGTTGAGAGTTTTTCTATACATTCAGAAAAATATTGTAATGTTTACCTTGTTACGATAATGCCTTTAAACTTCTGTGCACCTATACCAACATTGAGTCATACTACTGGAAGAGAGAGATTGCAATATTTGATCATATGCAATTACTAAGCCACTTTTATAAGAATTGAAATAACAAAGTCCTTTTATGTGACCTTGGCTAAAATAAATCTTCAGAGACTCGTGAAATAAATATGCTATAATTAATAAAATCACCAATCTATTGACAAAAGTAGAAAAATATTAAAATGGAATCTGCAAAAATTGAAAACTAAGTTGTTAACTCATTATTTTTAAAAGCTCCAAATGAAACAATATTTTTCAACAGACATTATAAAGTGGCACGAATGCATTTAATTTATATAGACATTTGATTGCACCAATGCCATTTATTTGTATGTACATCCAAAGTTTCTGATTTTATGCAAACAAACTTTATCTACATCACACTGACTGATCAAATTCAAAAGAAAGGCAATATTTAAAATCTTCTCCCTTTGTGACCTAGTTTCTTACAATCACTTGAACATCTCACGGAACAATGTCGCTGTGCGGATTTACTAGAAACCTCGTAAGGTGCTCGAAACCCAATACTTTCCACAGCATCAACAGTCTTGAATAACCGTCTCCTATTGACCTCCTCTACTAATGACTGGTGAAGCAACTGGCTGCGCGTATCCACTAGTGACCGGTTCCTTGTCAATCTAGGCATTTCCATCTTGTTTTTAGAAGTGGAAGAAGCTCCTTTTGATTCTAGCACATCATTGCACTGCTTGTAGCAAATCTTAGCAAGATATTGCCCTGTGCCTGAATTTTCTCCAGGATGGAATCGAGAAGAAGTTGGAGTATTACCGACGTACAGGTTGTGTCTTCTTGGGCTCATCACGGGATCATGTTCATCAGCAGAATTGTAAGTCCAGTTGGAATACTTTTCGGAGTGTGAAGAGCTCTGCGAGCTAGTATCGTCGTACAAGTCATCTATTAAAAAAAAAAATTTATTGAGATTGTGACAATATGCTTCATCAATGAAAATGGCCTATTCAAAAATCCAGTCGAGCATAATAAGACACAATCAGGAATGCGTAGCTCAACTAGGAAGTTAGTAGCTCAACACGAACCAGGTTCATATCACCCTTCAATTTAAATCAGCAAAAGCATTAACTTTTTAGATAGTAAAATAAATTCCAAACAGTTATTGACTATAATAGAAATACCTTGAATCCAATGACCACTTTGAGGTTTTACATCTATTTTCTGAGACGCGATTGAGCCCAAGAGTGACACTTGGGACGATGAGGAAGGTGAGAATGGATTATTGTGATCATAATGATCCTCTTGATAGTTCATCATATGGAAGTGAGCCGACTGAGGATTGTCCGACTTCCAATTCGGCACAAGACCAGTAATTTCTGCATCAATCATATCTGCAATTTCTGATGGCTTCCAGTCGGCAATCTCTAACTCCTTCACCATTTCATTCGCAACATCAATGGGGGTATCGGAAACAATGTCAAAGGGAAAAAACACGTTCCTAACATCACCTGGCAAAAGCATATAAAAAGGAAATCCTTGAGAAAGATTGTGGATTTTCACCAGTAATCAAAAAAGGAATCACAGGATACAAAGACTAAAAAATGCCGAAAACATAGGAACATGGGGTGGGCAAAATTTACCGTCTCTATCAGCAATTTGTACTTTAAGAAAGATGGTCTCGTCCTCAGGGTTCAGCTTCCCTGTAATAGTCATGTTAGTCCTTGGTAAATCCTCATTCAACTGCAGATCCTCGATTTTAATATTGTCATTCTGAAAAGGCTTTTGAATATCATTTCTCGACTCTGGCTTATCATCAAAGTCACCAAGTGCAAGAAATGGATCAAGCATTAGCTCCTTTGCTGGTAATCTCTTTGATGCAGATTCCAAGCATCTCCCAATAAATCTTTGGGCTTCCAAATCTTGAACTTTGTAGAACGCTCTTGGCTTTTTTCCCTTAAAAAAAATAAAATTCAAGTCATCCAGATTAGTTTCTGATCCAATTTTTACATCATTTCGGCCTAATAGTAACATGATCTTACTGATATCACTTTCTTGTAAATTTGAGCAGGGTTGGTACATTCACTGTATGGATATTCATAAGTTATCATCTCTAAAACACACATCCCATACGAATATACATCAACCAGTTCATCGTAGTTTTCTTCATATAATTCTGGTGCCATAAACTCGGGTGTGCCTAGCAAAATCAAAGAAAAGATTCAGCAGTCGATAATTAAGGGTCAAGTATAATTCAATTACACTTCCACTTGAGTTCAAAGGAAACTTTTCAAGATGTAACTATTCAGAACAGGAGATCAAATGAATCGATCATTCTAGCTCAAAGGTCATAGTACGCTTAAAAATTTCTCCACTTTACTCTAGGCATTTGGGAAAGATAAGGCTTAGCTCAAGTGGGGCAGAGGGATGGCAAAAGTGTATCCTTTGAATTCAGAAAATGCAGTATGATCTTGTTATTCATTTTGATTCTCGACTCTGATCCTTTGAAGATATAAGGTAAAAATGCAGAATAGGATACATGTACCTATAACACTGTGTGCTCTATGTGACCCACGTAAAATTGCTGCCAAGCCCAGATCACCAATTTTCACTTGTCCAAGATGGCCATTGACAAATATGTTATCACACTTAAGGTCTCTATGGATCACTGGAGGATCATGACCATGCAAATAAACAAGGCCATCAAGTATTTGTCGCGCCCATATCTTTATGGCTTGAATGTCCACTTGCTTATACTTTGCTCTGTATCTGCATTCAATCAAAATTAAAATTTAGTCCTCGTTGTCCCTAGGCCCGCAGTGTTCTACATTAATAACGTTCTGAATGAATAAATTTTACTCTCTGAGGGTGCCGGAAGTGAACATTTCAGTGATGAAATTAAAGGTTCTTTGTTCAACATCGATCCAAGAAGTGTAGAATTTGATGATCGACTTGTGATTTAGGGTGCTGAGAAGATGAACTTCAGAGTAGAGTCGTTGCAGATCCTCCGGTGACTGAAGCAAGTGATTGAGGTGGATTTGATTCCATGCTACTTCCATACCAAGCACCTCATCTATTGCCTTGTACACTGTTTTCATTGCCCCCTTCCCCAGAACTTCATCGAACTGTCCATCCATAATTTGTAGATAAAAAGTTCAGATTCTTTGAATGCAATTTTCAAATCAAATAATAAAAATTAGATAGACAACTAACCTTATAAATATCTATGTTCTAAATACACTTACAATTCGTCCGATCTTAATCTTTATAATACATAAAAAAGGCTTCGTTTATATTATTTTAACTTTTTAAAATTTGCTAAACTATTAAATTATATAGACAGCAACTTTGCCAAGTAAAGCAAAGTAGAATCCACTAAGCATAAACAAATCATTACACTTAAGACAAACAAATTCCAAGTAAGAAGTAAGAAATCAATAATCAATAACCCAATTATAACTGTATAAATTATTCGCAAATTTCTTCATGTCATACATAATTATGAGCCATATATATATATATATGAGAATAATAATGATAATAATAATAATAATAATAATAATAATAACCATCATCATCAACGTACTCGTCCATATCGCCCGGTTGGATCAGTTTCAGCGTATCCATTTTCATCCATTGATTCACCTGTGTGTTGTGCCCTGCTCATACTCGATCCTTTAGAACTATATACGTATATAACTTCAGATTTTTGAGGAACAAAATTAAGGTTAACAAGTCTTATAATATTTCAATTCAGAGAAAGGGCATCTAAATCCGAGGTTTTCCCTCGTGGTTTTCGTAAGAGAAGACACGAAATAGAAGCCAAAAGAGCCTGGAGAAGTCAACTTTCAACATAACCCAAGCCATCTCCATAAGTAAGCGTGAAGAGTCGTAGCTCTTTGTGACCATTTGACTGATGATGAACAGCGACACACAAGGCAAGATTTGACAGGGAATAAGAATAACAATTATTGGGAATTATAATTATTACTATGAAGCATGTACTTTTGAGTGGAGGTAAAGGGGGCCCGACTTCATTTTTCTTGAATAATTTGGGCAGAAATTAAGGATTTATCTTGAATCAGTAAAAAATATGTGATTCAGCAAGAGTCCTAATTCCTAAACTTGAAGAATCTGTGGCTCCGCTTTGCCGCTGCCATTTTGAGTGGTTATTGTTGGACTTCAAACTGAGATTTTTATTTAAGAATAAAAAAGTTGGAGGAAGAGTGTCGAAATTCAATAAAGACGACTGACTGTATTAACGGGTTGGCGTTACATACGGACAGGACGGAACTGGGTGTGTAATATTGTAGTCGAAATTGGACTTTTCTTTTGTTTTTCTTAATTTTTTTTCCTTTTAATTTACTTCAAAAGTAAGCCATTAGAATTCTTTGAGAATTACTGTTACTAGCGGGGTTAATTGATTAATTTTAAAAGTAAGTAAATGTAAATTTTAGAGAAATTCATTTCTAAACATAGAAGATATTCATAAGTTGGTTAAAATCGACTTATTTTTTTCGTATATTTGTATATTTTATATTTTCGATATGAAAATTTGGTATTCATTGTATTTTAATTCTCGTTGCAATTGTATTTTTCATATCATCGTAATTAAATACTAGCCAAAATAGTTCTATTTGACAAGATTATAAGTATGAGCAACTGAAAGTCAGTTGAATAAACAAGAAAAAAATAACAGAAAAAGTTATAAGAAAGAACGGTAATAAGCTAAAAATTATAGTTATAGTGATTTTAGTTCTCAAATGTTCATATGTTGAAAAGGAAAACTAGATTTTCAATATTAAATACACATGAAAGGTACAACTATAACGATATACTTCATATATGGATGAAAATTCCATTTATATGACATACTTTGTACAACATAAACATTGGACTCTTAGTCGAAAAAAATCTTTGTGGATATATATATACACACACACTGTAGTACTTATGTTTTTACAATAAAGTAGTTGATATGCTGCAACTATACTTATGAAGGATAGAATTTTTAATTTTTTAAAAGCTACAGATGATAAAGAGAGCAAAGTAAGAATAAGTTATGAATATTTTGCTTTTGTTAGCCTATTTTATATTGTAGTGAACTAATTTGAAAAATCGCATTAATTTAATGAACAAGCCAAAAATCATATGATTAACTAAAATTATTAGAGATGTCACAGATTTTTGTACGTTAAGAAGATTTCTCTGATGTAATACAATTGCAATTATAGTGTTGAAGCAGGTGAGGGGTTTTATGGCTAGGTTCTTGTAAAGTAATGATGCTACAAAACAATCAAAGTACGGTATGAAACCATAGCCCCTCGAGGAAAAAAATATTTCAAATGGCACCTAATGATGTAAAAAAGTGTACCTGTTGATTTCACGAGATTGAGGACTGAGATCGAGCACGAACGGAGCCTTCCAGTACCTGAAATAAAGGCAACAAAGTGTGTCCTCGTCGCCCCTCCGATACTTAAATCAGACGAGAAAAATATATAAAAGTATGTATTGTAAAAACATACCTAAATAATGAGGCTAGAAGACATTGGTGGTTGAGTTCTAGAAGGATTCAACCATTTAGAGACCTTATCCTCATCAGATAAAGTAATTGAGTTATAAGATGACTAAAACACATAAAAAGCTCGAGATGAGGACAATATTTTGGCATGTGGGCCTGACCTTAGCAGGGCCAGATTATGAGGCCCGACTTCTAAGAGGCTCGAGCACTTTTTAGAGGATATTTGAAGACGAGAGTGGTCGAGGTATTGACCTCGGGCCATGCTTGAAAGTTCGGGGTCGGGCTATAATTTTTGTACACATCATAGGCCCCCGTGCATCCATGTCAGGAGCTCATGCGCAATGTGGGAGTTTCTGGCGTGAGATGCATAAGTATATTAAGTTCTAGAATAGACATGTTCATGTCGAGTCGATTGGCCCCCGAGCACATAGGTCTAGGATAGCAAGTATTGACTATTTAAAATTTGAAAGGAATGAGCTCGATCTTAAGGCTTATTAGAAATTTTGAAAGAAAGGACTCGATCCTGCCCTTGTTGAAATTTTTGAGAGAATTGAGCTCGACTTCGACCTTGTAAAAGAATTTGGCATGAATGAGCTCAACCTCAAACTTTATCAGTACTTGAAGTGAAAGAGCTTGACCTCTACCTTGTTCAGAAGTTGAAAAGAACGAGCTCGACCTCGAGCTTTGTTAAAAGTTTTGGAAGTAATGAGTTTGACGAATAGACAAAGTTTCATATAGGAGGCTAAGTGGAAGCTCAATCCTATTCTGAACATATTTATCTCAAGCTTGTTGGCTGGGGTTTGACAATAATTTGAGCTCCAGAACATAGCCCGAGTCCAATGTGAAATAATATCCCGAGCTCTTGTCGCTGGGTTTTCGACAATGCGTTGAGTTCGAGGATAGGCCCCTGAGTCGAACGTGAAATAATATTCCGATCTTTGCTCTGATGAATTTGAGAATAGGTCGAGCCTGGCAAGCTCAGGATAGACCATAGTCGGGTTTTTTACTTGATGCATTGCGAGACTTAGAGATGCTTGCGTGGGGTAAGGCTTTGATGCCGACGATGGACAGGGCTTTTGTGCCTGCGCGTGACAAGGCTTAGATGCCTACGCAGGACAGGACTTTTGTACTCACGCGGGGCAAGGCTTTTGATGTGCCTGCTCATGACAGGGTTTTGGTGCCTGCTTGGGGTAGGGCTTTGATGTGCTTGCTCGAGTCAGGGCTTTAATGTACCTGCTTGTGACAGGGCTTTTGGTGCCTGCGCGGGATAGGGCTTTGAGGTGCCTGCTTGGGGCAGGGCTTTGATGTGCCTACTCGAGGCAGGACTTTAATGTGCCTGCTTGTGACAGGGGTTTTGGTGCCTACGCGGGACAGGGCTTTGAGGTGCCTACTCTTGAAGAGGCTTTGGTGTGCCTGCCCGGGACAGGGCTTTGTGTGCCTGCGCGGAGCAGGGCTTTGTAGTGTCTACACAGGACAGGGCTTTGAGGTGCCTGCACGATGCAGGGCTTTGTGTGCCTGCGCGGAGCATGGCTTTGTGGTGCTTGCACAGGATAGGGCTTTGAGGTGCCTGCGCGAAGTAGGGCTTTAGGTGCCTGCGCGGAGCAGGGCTTTGATGGAGCATTTAGTGTGAGTGAACCAAATGTTATTGTAATTCATAACCAAATAATCATACCATAAGCATGAGCATTGATTACACCAAAATATATGTTTTTCGAGGATTAAAACACAAATCATGTATGTTGTGTGATTAATGTCTTTTAAATATCCATAATATTTATTTTGGGATGTACGCATGAGCTACTATTCTAATCTCAACTAATTATGATGGTTTGCTCCACATTAGTAACAATGTAAAAGATATAGGCAAGTAGTGGTTCTATAATATTTTCAATGCATAGCCTTTGTTTATTAAAATGTAAATCAATAAAATCATTAAAAGTTCCAACACTTATTTAACGTAACAAATCAATTGCTTAAGTGCATTCATTAATTTAGAATTGCAAAGTTTCCATTTTTCATAATGGTGATTAATTCTTCAAGCTATGGCCTTCGAGTGATGTAAAACTCAGTGAAATTATTTAAATGTCCTGAATTGGTGTCCAAGTAAAACTTTTCACATGAATTATTGATATTTTTCATTTTGTTAACTATTGTCAACAGGCAAGGGATGAATGCAAAGAATTTTACTTGAAGGTAAGCTCCATTTTTATACTTTTATAATTAAGTGTATGCATATTCCCCTAGACTAGGTGAAACTACATTATATTTTCCTCTCCATATCAATGCATAAATGGCTTGCTATCAAAATGTGAATGTGTTAAGAAAATGAAAAGTCTAGCATGGTCACATATCCATAGTTGAATTGCTTGAAGAATATAAATTTGCAACAGAATAAAAAAGTGAATACCACTGTTAGGTGAAAACATACCCGGGTTTAGAGCTGAGTGCTACGTATTTTCATGGTAAAACCTTGACTTATTCGCATTATTTCCAGTTTGTGTGCACTTGCAAAAAAATAATTCCTTTGAGATGACTGAGATTTGTATCCCATCCACGGTACCATCAAAAGTTATAGCAACACATTTCAAACATCTTTCACATTAGGCCATAGCAAACAACTTCTTGGAGCCACTAAATTTATGTCATTATCTCAAAGAATAGCCACGGTTAAGTAATTGTGAGGGGTAGGGAATCCAGCTTCAGCAAGCATTTTTTATTTTATTTTATCAATTGGCCTAAGTCAAGTAATTGTAGCAGCCAATGGAGTAGAAAACGGATCAAGGAGAAAAAGAAGCATGCAGGGAGCTGTAATGCTTCATCCGGGCCCAACGATGCAATAATAATGCAAAGCCCATAATGAAGACCTGAATTAGAAACTATAGGGTGTTGGTATGTCCAATTTAGCAATGTAGCATAAGGTAATTATTGTGATCCAAAATGGGGGAAGGCTAGGGATGTCAAAAAGGCTCGGTGGCTCGGGCGGCCCGCAGCGACTTGTGGCTCGGAGCAACCGAACCTAGGCTCGGGCCGAGCCCCAAAATGGGGCGTCTGCCCAAGCCCGGCCCGGCCCGGCCCGGCCCGTATAAACAGAAAAAAATAAAAAATGGTATAAAGCTGCCTGTTGGCAGCAGATTTAGATTTGGTGCCAGTTTGGCAGCTTTCTAGCTGCCTGTTGAGGCAGTCTTTCAGCAGCTGCCTGTTGGCAACTGCAATATTATAATTTTTTAATATTCTACTTTAAGTTTTGTTTATGAAATGGTACAGTAATTTTAAATATTTGTTTATAAGTAAATTAACCTTAATTATGTTCAAATTCAAATTATATTAGTCAAATTAAGTAATTACGTTTGACTAATTGAACTTCGAAGACAAATTTAACTAAATACAAGTGGTCTTTTTATAGAAACTTAAACTTTTAGATAAAATTATTCAATAATATTATATAATCACACAAAAGACATGTATTAAGATCTCATAATCTATTTATTTATAAAAATTGGGAACATGTCAAACTTTTAATGAAAAATAAATTTGATTATACTGAAACATCTATTTAAAGATAATATCTAAAATAATAAAATATT